GGCGCTGGGGAAGGTCTGGCATATAGAACACTTTATCTGCTCCCACTGTAACCTGCCCCTGGGAACAAAGAACTTCTACGAGAGAGACGGCGGTGCTTACTGTGAGGAGGATTACCATCGCCTGTTTGCCCCCAAATGTGCCTACTGTAACGGCCCCATTGTAGATGTGAGTATAGTCATTCATGGGTGAATAATTTCATATTTAGAATTCTAGCCTGCCGGTTGATTTTGATTTTTTTTACTTGCTCAACCTATTTGTTGATAGTAAATTGAAATGTACATATTGAAAATTTTAATGAGCCCCGTTATAAAATCTACAGCACCAGGCATTCGCCGAACCAATGAATTTGTACACTCCTGGTCATTGTAATTACATTTTCAAATTTAATGATAGACCAATAGCCGGTGAGCACAAAAAACACTGTGGGTCTACAGTAACTCGCTACCTTGAAGATAAGAGTGTCTATAACTACACAAATGGTAGCTGGTCTATGAAAATTTCTGTCTAAAAGCAATCTGAAATCTCAAACCTCCATTGTCTGGTGTTTAACATATTAAATTTGACGACTGTTAATTTGAAGACTTTAATGGCCCTGATTGTGTGTGTGAGTACGTACTACAGTCACTGTTACAGTCCTAGCATAGATGCAAGTATGATCACTAAGAGCCGAATTGTAGATAACTGTTTGTAACAGCTGTTGAACTTTGCTACATTGCTATATATTTAAAGACAACCATGTTAATGATTAACTTAACAACTGAAGATAACACTGGTGAAATTGTTACAGAAATGTGTGACGGCCATTGGTAAGACCTGGCACCCGGAACATTTCTTCTGTGCTCAGTGTGGACGGCCATTTGGGGAAGAGGGTTTCCACGAAAAAGACAACAATGCTTACTGCAGGTAAGTGGGACTGTGATTGTTATCAGCATGTTTGATATATATAGGATCTTAAATGAGTTTTCATTTCATGAGATTTTATGAAACGAGTCTTAAGAGTTTTTATATTTGCGAGCCTTGGCGAGCAAAAATTAAAACTTCGAGACAAGTTTCATAAAAGCTCATATGAAATGAAAAAAATTTAAGGTACTTTTTATCACATAATTCAGAAAACTTACATTTTGACAGGATTTAAAGCCAAAATGTAGAGTGCTTAATCAAACGTTGACAGCCATTTTGTTGCGCCATTCACAATTTATGACATCACATCATTGTCCATATTATGACTTCACAATCGATTTCTGACTGGCACAGCCAATGAAAAACGCTCCAGGGTATATTACACTAGTGACATATGTAAAAATATTACACGGGCGAATTCACTGGATAACAGGCGGATTATGTGATAAATAAAGAGATTTATTGTAATGTTAAGATGATATTAGAACGAAAAATTCAATGGCTTAACAGATTTCCATCTGATCGAAATTTGACTCTGATGCATAACTAGACTATACTAGACTAGTCTTGTATGTACAGGCAAGTGATGTTTGCAAAAATATGGATATGTAATATCTGTATTCGCCCAGCGCTAATTTCGCCCTTCAAATCTGATAACTATGTTTATAATGTTGTTTTCAAATGTTTGCTCTAAAGATCAATTTTCTTTCATTACGGAGGGCAAAAAAAGCCTAAAAGTTAACCTGCCGCGAAAATTTCCCATTTGTTTAGGTGGTCTGTTAATACAATTTTATATTGTAATTTATAAATATTACGATGTTGGGTGTTACAGACAAGACTACCTGGAGATGTTTGCCCCTCGGTGTGGAGGGTGCGGAAACCCCATCCTGGACAACTATATCTCCGCCCTCAGTCGACACTGGCACCCAGAGTGCTTTGTATGCAGGGTAAGTAAACATTATCATACGTCTTGGTTTACTCTGTATGTCTTCTGTACAAAATCGAGTGTTAATCACAATATTGATCTTACATTTCTCTATTTTTCACATTTTCAAGTCCGCAACTTTGCAATTTTGACTTTATACACAATGTATGTATTGAAGGTGCTGCAGCATTTCAAGATCGGCTGGTCCCTTTGTCAAGCTATATGTAACTTGAACCTCGACAAAGGGACCAGCTGTCGGTCTTGAAACGCTGCGACATGTTTATTACGTACATTGTTTGTGTATAAAGTAAAACTTTGATATTACATATTTCCAAACTGATGAATGTTATATGTTATATTGTTGGCATTTATTTGAATAATCATAAAATAATCAGAATATTAAAGAAAACAATGGCCTTTGCATTTCATCAGTAGGTATTCATTGGAGGTGAAAAATCATGTTCCAACAGTTGTGCTAAAAAAGGGCAGTATAACAAGAAAATCTCTCCGAAATGACAGTCGAAACATGGCTATTCACAAACTTTGATTTCTTTTATTCATTCCTTCTGGCAGTGCATAAAACCATGGGCCTGTTTGTTTATGCGGACCAACCGGTTTGTCTGTTTTTAAATGTTCTGGTATAAATTTTGACAGACCTACAAATGTTTATGCAGGCCTTGCAAGGCTTGGTCAAGGCTTGCCTGAAAGCAGTATCAAATTTCTAGGTCCGACTTTACTTCATAAATGAACAACTCTGGTCCAACCGGTGTGGATCGTGACTCATGTGCTGCTGGTAAAGGGAAATAACTCTTGTACAGTAAAACTAGGATCATTTAGTTACTGTATTTCACTTTTTTGCAGGAATGTCACATGTCGTTCGGAGGGCGTAGTTTCTTTGACCATGAGGGTCAGCCCTACTGCGAGACTCACTACCACCTAAAGCGGGGGTCACTCTGTGCCAGCTGTCAGAAGCCCATCACCGGCCGTTGTATCACGGCCATGTTCAAGAAATTTCACCCGGAGCATTTCGTGTGTGCTTTCTGTTTAAAACAGCTCAACAAGGGGACATTCAAGGAGCAGAACGACAAACCCTATTGTCATCCATGTTTTGTTAAGCTTTTTGGTTGATTTTGTTAGTTGGAAAGTATTGATAATTAATACAATGTACTTTAAACCAGAGGTATTTAATTTTTTTACTTTAAATTCTATGAGTGGTTTGAGAACTACACCCGTAGTGGTTATCTACTGGTCTTCCAGCACTTTCTCCGTACTGTTTATGAAGAAAGCTGCTACAGTTACTTCTGCCTGAAGTTACATCTACTGCTGGGCGTAAGTAAGTCCTGAGTCCATACCACTCGGACCCTATGGTTCGAGTCATGTCAACCCGGAGTCATGTGTTGTGTTGTGTCCACTGCTGGGTCAACTGCCCTGTGTCATCTCTTCTGCTGGACCATCAACCCGGAGTCGTGTCCGCTCTGTCTTTGAGTTATGTTCACGGCTGGGTCCTCTAAACCGAAGTCAGGTCGACTTCTGAAAAGAGTAAGAACTAGTTGTTTTAACTTGACAACTGGGACAGGATTCCTCCAACACCAAGTTTCTTACCGGTATATCTTTCAGTTACCAAGAGCTGTTAATTTATAATGACCACATTATTTCTACGTTTATGTCTGCCGCAGTATTTTCTGGGTGTCTGATATATATTTTTATGGAATCATTGTGCAATTAACTTGCATATGTACTTTAAATTAGCTACACATTTTTGTTATTTCGTCAGAAGTAAATAGAAGTTGCAAGAGTATACTGGTAGAGGAGCGTCAGTAATGATTTGTTAAACAAAAGCTGATGTAGCTACTGAATTTTGTAACTATGCAGCATAACATGGTGTAAGGTGATGGAAAGCCGACTTTGAACATTTGATTTGATTGGGCAAGATCGATCTCACCTGGTGGTTTGTTATTGTTTCTGAAAAATCATTGCTGGTTTACTAATTTTAATTATTGTTAAACACATTTAGAGCATTATGATTTGTTTTTTCTTTTTTTTCTGTGCTATAGTCTTGCATGTGAAAGATCAGCCTTGTCTCCCCTGCCAGCCTACCTGGACTGTCCCATATCATTGATTGAGACAGTCCATGTTGGTATCTTAGGGGTAGCAGAGTTCATCTGATATTATTATATATTTTTATGTGATAATTTATTTCAATAGGTGAAAATAATTACTTTCTGTAACTCTTATGATTATATTGTTGAAGATATGTTGTAATGCTGATGAAATATTTGTTGGTAGCTGGCATATTTTTTTATCTTGTGGGTCAACTTCAAAATGACTCATAAAGAAAAAACGGGATACAATGTTGTTTTCAAATTGCCTGTAAGCCGAATGCTATACAAGAGTTCAACATATCTAAAGACACTATTTCCAGTAATGGGCAACAAATGCTAGCACTCTTGTTTCCAAAATATTGTCTAGTTTTATCAAAAATTTCTTCTTTCACTGATAATTATTTTTTTGAGAAAATTCACTTTGTATGGTGTATTTGATTTTGCGCGTTTCTCATTACAATCGAGCACAATTTTGTTTTGTTGTGAATACATTTACATCACTGACACAAACCACCGACATCTCATGTTTGACATTGTGTGGTTTCTGGTCATGTTCGTCTGTGCCTTGGTTTTTTAACATTTAAGTTCTCAGGTTGACAATGGAATCCATGCTGTTATCGTAGATCAATGAAATGTTTATAAAACACAATAGTATGGTGTCAGAATTTGTTGATAATACAAAAAAGATCAATTTATATAACGATATTCTTTTCAAGAGATGAACGATAGCTTTAATTCAAGCATTATTTGTTAATATCTATATTTACGGGATAAAAATTCTCGTTTCTGTTACAATATCAACACCTGCTTTTCTTTGCAGGATAGAAGAAAAAAACTAATATTGATTCTTTTGTGCTGAATCGATATTACCCTGGTCAGAAAAAATCCTATATGTAAACTATCCCCCAGGTGTAACTATGTTGTCATGGTTACATTTCTCTAAAGTGTCACTTTGTGTTGCCATAGTAACCTAAAGTATCACTTTGAGTTGCCATGGTAACCTTCCTCCCATTTGTCACTTTTTGTTGCCATGGTGAACTTCTTTCCAAGTGCAAACTTCCTTTCCTTTGAAGAGATATAATAATCATGAACATTAAGATTTACTGAACATGTTTTTGATTGTAGAGAAATTTTATTTTCATAGAAAAAAACCACTTTCTGGGTAACAGTTAATGCTACAAGTGCAGGCCTTGATGTTAGGAAGGCGGGAAAAGAGGAAATATGCCTCAAGGAGGCATGAATATAGAAAGTATGCCCCGTAAAGTTTGGAAAATGGAGATACACCCCTTGTAGGTGTGGTAAATGAAGGTATGCCCCTTGCTGTGGGACTGGTTCCCCGTGTTAATGGCACTGGAGTATCACCACATACAATATACAATGCATTCATGCATGGATTTATATGGTATTGTAATATTTTAAACTTCTATGTGAAATGTATTTTTGTTACAATGTATTTGATAATACAATAAATTAAAAAAATAATGTAAAAAAAAAATGTATCACTTTCCAAAGACTAAGGTATATATCCTGGACGGAATTGTACTGTATGTACTTTTGTTGTATATATTATACTGTATAACACTAGACACATAACTATTACGTAAACAATTAAACCTTCGCTCTTTCTGTATACTCATCATGTGAGCCTTTCAGCAGAGCTGTTGCAATATGCTTCAAATAAATCACAAAATATATAACACAGCGTTGATTGTTTTTTTTGAACTACCTTATGATTCATGTTCTCAAGTTAATATACCTGTTGAGATTGACAGAAAATGACAGAGGTTCGTACATAATATAAGTCGCATTTTAGGAAAGAAAACTAATAACGCAGCACTACATTTATTTAAAAACACGGAAAACAGAAGAGTCAATGTCGCATTGAAGATTGTGGCAAAGGAAGAGGACCTTGGAATTGTAACAGCGAACAAATTCACGATGCGGTCACAAAGCCAAAAGAATGATGGGAACCATTTGAAAAATTTAAACATATTAAGATAACTGTTAACACAACTTTCTTTTTATATATTCATCTTGAATATGGGGCCTGCATATGGAACCCATATTTACAAACTTAGAAAATATACAGAGAAGAGCAACAAAACAAATACCGGGAATGGAAGATCTAAGCTACGAAAACAGACTGAGCATAGGAGACTAAAAGGGGATATGATACAAGCATAAAAGGGGACACAGTCTGTCACTGATAAAAGGAAGGAGTAGGCTGAACTTAAGAAAATCTTTCAGTGAGCGGATTGTAAACTATTGGAACTCTCCTTCAGATGCTGTCATTACATCGCCAACAATCAAATCATTTGAATCCCAATTGGATAAACACTGGGGGCAACCTTAATGTTTTTATAACCACAACAAAGGCAGTAACAAACTTGATCTGGATATATAGGCAAAAATGCCTTCCTCTATTATTATATTATTTCTGCGTCCATTAATTGTTATATTATTACTGCATCCAGTATTATATTATTAAGCTGGGAGACGATGTAATTACTTCCCCTTGTTGGAATTCATATTATTGCATGAAGATATGAAAGATATTGGGCAATGTCTTTATCTGAAATGTACATCCCCCAAACAAAACTCAAATAACTTAAAAAAATGTCAAGCACAAATGAATAAATCTTGAAAAGGATGAAGAGCGATTTTCGAATAAATAGAAGGATATATACAGAACACAATTTTAATTCATAAAGAAAAATATTTATAATTGAGTTTACAAATATTTTCAAGGATCCTCGTATCGCTTCCAAAACATTAACAAAGTGTTGGAAACTGTGTTTTTCAGCATGACTTTAGATTTGATAAATTATTTCTAAAAATAAAACTTTACCTTGTGGGGCTTTTATGAGAATTGATAACGACAAAATAAACAAAATATAATAAACAACAGTGTTTTGAGTGTAAAAAATCAGCGGGGCTAGATCGGGGTTCAAACCCTTGACTTCAGATTGATATACTATCGTTCTAACTGATTGAGCTACCTGGTCAACGTGAGTGTCCTGACCAAACTGTGTTACAGCTATATGCAAGCGGAGAAGTTAGGGGGAGGTAAGTGTACATAGAAAAACCACAGTGGAGTGGGACAGGGATTCTTAAGCATTCCAAGGGAGATAACCTGGAAATCTACTGAAAATGACTAGATGTAATTTAAAGTAAAACTGACTTTTGATAAGATGAAATATTATATTTTGAAATCAAGGAAACATATATTCTTGGTTTTCCTTGTATAGAATTTCTATTTCCGCTCTCTAGGGGTGAAGATAAAATATATAGCTGAACTGAAAATGCCGTGATTGTTACCAGACTTTGAAAACAATTGATCATGAACGGTACTGCTTTTGATAAGCAGATGATGTAATATTATAACATGCTTAGATGGCAGCGTAGAAGACATTCATTTCACCTAAAAAAGAATTATTTTATGGTCCGGAGAGAAAAACGAACCATTCCAGAGTTTAGAGGGAGACAGAAAATCTCAACTCCCTAGGGGGACATTCCTCAATACCCATCCTAATTGTTGAATGTAGTTCTACGTATATATGTATACGAAAGGCCGACTTTATAGTGCTATCTCGCTGAAATACCATACCGAAGGTATCTAGTACTGCATTCCACCCGGTCACATTATACCGACAGCGGTGAACATCCGTGTTAAGTTAGTTTTACATTGAATTTAATTTGCTATATTTTGCTAAAAGTGCAAATGCTACACCAACAAGGTGACATGTACTTCTCAATGCCTGCTTCAGATTAATATCACCAGACTTTTCATTATCATTAATCTTAAAAGTTTGACAGTATTAGGTAAATTTAAAATTTTCTAAATTTAAATTCCAATTTGATTTATAAAACAGTTTGAAAAACAAGTTAATATCATAACTCAAAATTGAATTGGCGATTTAAGATTTAAATTCTAAAAGTTTAAATGATATGTAAAGTGTTTTGAACAGACTGAATGACCTAGACCAATTTTGCCATAACTGCATCTTGCACTCCTTGATCCTGATCTGTTTGTTCCAGCATTCACAAATACCAAATAGAACCTGTGTATAAAGACACATTGTGTAATTCAACCTATTTGTTGGTGTTCCACATGGTGTCAAATAAGGCAGGTTTCACTGTACAGGCATATTTCACCACTCATTGTTTGTTTTTGAAAGTAAATATCATTGTAAACAAGAAATGGTATATTGGTAAATAAATCTTACATTTTTTTTTATATTAGTGCTTAACATCCGATTTTTCCACCATACTGGATCGCTGTGATCTTGATTTTCAGTCAGCACTGCAGAGTTACCTCCCTTTGCTGAGGGTGTATTCCCATACTCATTGGTAGTATTAAAAAGAGAAATGTTAAAGGTTAAAAGTAAAAATGAAGATTACCTCCCTTTGCTAACTATGTTGTTTTCTTTACAGTTCTACCAATGAACTATATTCTTCAGATCCTCTTTGATTTCAGATAGAAACTGTAAGCATACTTATTTAGAAAGTAATAAATACTTTATGTACATATGTAATAGCACATATATTAATGTGGACCCTCTCCAACTCATTTCTGCCAGGTTCAACATTAATATAATTCTTGTTTTATATTACATAATATATAATTTATTATTATTATTTCTACTTAAAAGTATGTTTACAGTTGCTTTCTTGCTGTTACAAGTTTTATATATCACAACAAAGACAAATAAATAAGGTTTCTCAGATTTATTTAGGAGCATATTTAAGGTGGCTCTTAACACAAGACTTAATAAGTTGTAAACTCTGAACTGTTCATATATATTTTCAGGAGAAAATTTAATTATATAGGCTATGACTGTTGTTCAAATCATTTGATAAATCAACAAAATCTATTGAAACAGAAAAACAATGAGGCATTTCTGAACATTAATTAACATTAAGGTTTAGAAAAAAACAAAAACATAATTGAACAATTATTTTCCATGGAGATGGGGGTAATGTATATAAATTAAAGCAAATATTTCATTCTTTGTTGAAAGTATCAGTGACATGTTGAACTACACAATAATATGTACTGTAACAATGTATTCAAAATAATCTGTATACAAACTGATGTCCAGAAAATCAAATATTGTTGCTGAAGGAGTCGCAAAGCTTTTTACATATACATGTAAGGTGTTTTAAAGCAAAAACGGGGAGCGATGGAATTAATAATTCAATGTTTGGTGGTGGAAAAAAACGGATTACACGGTAAAAAACCACCGAGCAGTATCTGATGTTTCTTATCGAGGTCATTGCATGATTGATATGACCTATGTAGGATAAATCTGGAGAAAAAATAACAAAAAACTTCATAAAGAAGCAGAATAAAAAAACTCAGTTTTTACAGTAATAATTTACAAACCTTTGTTACATTGATATGATATATAATGTTTGGTAGTGGAGAAAACCGGAGTACCCGGTGAAAAACCACCGAGCAGTATCTGATGTTTCTTATTGAGGTCATTGCATGTAAGATAAAAGCGGAGAAAAAATAACAAAAAACTCCATAAAGTAGCAGAGTAAAAAAAATCTCAGTTTTTACAGTAATAATTTACAAACCCTTGTTACATTGATATGATATATATTACACAATTGGAAATATTTTACCATTTTAAAAAAGTTTGTATGATTCCTTTGTAAAAGAATTGGTGTTGTTTAGTTGAAATATCTACATTTGGGATGTTTGTGTCCGAATCGAGACCGACAATGAAATTTTGTGTTTTACATCCTATTAACAGCTATGGGTATTTATGGATGGGCAATGTTTGGTGGTGGATAAAACCGGAGTACCCGGTGAAAAACCACCGAGCAGTATTTGATGTTTCTTATTGAGGTCATTGCATGTAAGATAAAAGCGGAGAAAAAATAACAAAAAACTCCATAAAGAAGCAGAGTAAAAAAAAATGGCTCAGTTTTCACAATAATCATTTCCAAACCTTTGTTACATTGATATGATATATATCACACAGTTCTGGAAGTATTTTGCCATTTTAAAAAGTTTGAATAATTCGTTTAGAAAAGAATTGGTGTTGTTTAATTGAAATATCTACATTTGGGATGTTTGTGTCCGAATCGAGACCGACAATGAAATTTTGTGTTTTACATCCTATTAACAGCTATGGGCATTTATGGATGGGCAATGTTTGGTGGTGGATAAAACCGGAGTACCGGTGAAAAACCACCGAGCAGTATCTGATGTTTCTTATTCAGGTCATTGCATGATTAATATGACCTATGTAGGATAAAGTATGAGAAAAAGTAAAAAAAAGATGCAGAGTGAAAAAAGAATCTGTTTACAGTAATAATTTCCAAACCTTTGTTACATTGATATGATATATATCAGATAGCCCTGGAAGTATTTTACCATATCAAGAAAAGAAAAAAATCCATTATGATGCGGAGTGAAAAAATGATAGTAAAAAAATAATTTCCAAACCTTTGTTACATTGATATATGTAGTGTGGTGGAGAAAACCGGAGTACCCGTAAAAAACCACCGAGCAGTATCTGATGTTTCTTATCGAGGTCATTGCATCATTGATATGACCTATGTAGGATAAAGCTGGAGAAAAAATAACAAAAAACTCCATAAAGAAGCAGAATAAAAAAAAATGTTTTCACAATAATAATTTCCAAACCTTTGTTACATTGATATGATATATATCACAAAGTCC